GATGTAAAACAACGATAGATGTTGGATCCGCCCGGCGGCATTCAGCGGTACTCTAAACAAAATTCTCTGTAAGAAGTAAAAAGTGGTTTTAGCGGTTGCAGAAATAATGACTGCATTTAATGCAGATGTTTGACCAATATATACGAAGGAAAAAAAATGGCACTAAACATTCAAATGCAATATGGTTTCGTGTTATGCGTAATTTCTGCTGCCCTGATTGAAACTAATAGTGCAATTAAATGATAAACATGCTTATTTCGAAGATTAAACCTAGACGGTAACACCAGGCTTACCAGTGCGAACATGCCATCCTGTAGAGAAATTGTCTGTATCACACAAAAGCGTGATCGCATCGGCCGCCCTGGTGCTTATCGCTCTCTAGCGCATTTGCAAAAAAATGCAAAAACGCACAAAAATGAGATCAAAGTAGGAACAAGGTACTGGAGTAAAGGAAGCATTTTTGAAGAAATAAATAGCAACGCGCACCAGACTAGCCGGTGCGATCATGCGTTTTTGCAATTGAGCACATCGAACGATCGCCTGTTAATGATTTTCAGGGCAAGGTTGAGCGTGGGCAGGGGGTCATTACCCTAAAATTTCAGCCTCCTAGACTCCGTGGTTCCTGAGATATTGACTTACCCGTAAAAAACTTTCACGGGGCTGTACGAGTTACCCGCGGGTACAGGAAGGCGGAATTTAAATTTGCCGCGTCACCCGTTGGCGGGGAACACTATACCAAAATTTTAGCCGCCTAGCTTTTGTGGTTCCCGAGTTGAAAGTGCGGGACAAAATGTGGGACGCACACACAAATACACACACACACAGACAACCCCGTGACAATATGCGTTTTGTAACGCTGTTATACAGCACACAACGCATAAAAAGAATTGACAAACCTTTGCGGTGACTCCAAATCCAAGTGGCAGATCATTCATACTGTACACTACCACTCCCTGATGAGCTTCTGCACCTTCAGTCATCCGACTCATCCCCGATTTTAGTACGTTATTGCCGTACAAAAACTGCTGCTCTGCATTCGGCTTCACCCAAACTTTGCACTAGAACAATTTTCGAGTTCACCGCTATCGCATGAGCATCATGTCAAAGAGCAGCTGCTCTATTTTTTTGATGACGCAACTTAAATTCATTTTTTTACAAAATTACTAATAATTTGATACTGAACTGATGTTAAAACACCATATTACTAAGTTCTATATTTTACTTATGCACTGTATTCTAGATTAGGAAGTGTATGGAGAACTTTCTTCTCATTCTCTTCTCTGGGTGGTTCAGACCGACAGAGTTACGCTGGATCTGTCCGGAATACAAGACAAACTACCGCTGTTCTTGTAGCACAAAACAAGTCACCGTCGCTTTAGTAGTGCAGGACCCAGTACCAGTCGAGCAATACCAGCTACCAGTAGGGCACGTGTTGGGAATAAACTCTGGCATGATAAAGAACGGACTATTTTCGGGATGACGAACGGACTGAGCGTAAAGAACAGACGACCGTCTTCCTCCTTCGATTTCGTAAAGAATGAGGAAAACCGGGAGATACGGGGGTGGATCGGCCTATCCCCCGTACATCTCAGTAAATATCGATCAAATACAAGAAATTTTTAAGATAACGGCATCGATAACCGCCGTCAAAAACATCACGAATATGTCGTTATCACCATTCACGATCTTCAAAGTACAGATTCCTCGGCTTAGCCGGCAGGAAGTATTTTTTTGCATTTCTGTTACAGCGGCAAGATTTTTTTCATTATTAAAATATTGACTGATAAAAAAGTTATTTCCAGTTTTTCTTGAAAGTGTAAGAAATGTACTCCATCCGTCCATCAAAAAATTTCCCGTACAAACTATCGGTCATCTTCTGCAAACTCCTTTTTTATGTAATCTGTGCTGTGAAAAGCATTCCTTAACCCCCTCCCCCCTCATCTACGAATAACTTCTGATCATCACCCACTGCGTAAATTAATTATAAAGCAGGAGTGTTCTTGTGGTTTGCTGTAGGCCTCGGAGTATTTCGCTGAATTTTTTGTAAGTACTTTAAGTTCAAAAAAAAAGTCTCGTGGATGCCTACTAGGTTCCTTTAACTATGCGGTCGTACCTTCATATTTTTGGGAATGCAGCAACGGACATACCTTAGCATACGGAGCAATATAATCGAGCGCAGTGATGTGCAAATGAAACTTCCTAGTTTTCGTGAATTTGCCCAAGCACGTCCCGAAACTGAGCAGTGGCGATCGCGAAATACAAGCTGCTTTGCGCATCAACGGTTCACTGCAGTAGTACACTCGATCCTGTAAAACACTGACTGGTCAGGGGTGCGGGATGCTTTTTCGTGGATCGTTATATATATACAGGCTCCTTCTACTGGCTGTAGGCCAATGTAGCTCCATCACTCCAGTTTGGGGAATGGCTAACATTGCACAGTGTAAACGAAACTATGATGATGTTGTGTACGCGAAATGCTTGAAAGCACTTACAACACCGATTTAGTTTGTAAAAAATGGCTACGGCAACGTGGAAGTAATCACACAGGGGCTTCTTCAAAGATATCCAGAAATATTCTGAGTTTATGAAATTTGGTTCACTTACAAGGACACCTTATTTGTTTCGGGAATTAAAAAAATGCTCGATCAAAAGTCAACTCGATGCTCATGCCAAATTCGTGATAATTATTTCTCACTTTATTTCATTTTGGCATAGTGCTCATGGTAAACGCAACCGAAACGGAATCAGCCCCTCCTGTTTCTGTGCGAATATTGAAAAAACATACCTTATGTAATCTGAAGCAATAAGTGGCATCATCTCTATCAATTAACAATCGCACACTGTCGCCAATATAACGCGTCAATTTCTTGAGCACAACCTCCGTCTCCTCGTCCGATAGTGGTCTCATCACGAGATACCACTGGTCAGAAAGTGATACCGTTTAGTGAAAAATGCCACAAGACGAGCAAAATGTCTGCAAAACAGCAAAATTATGTGTGTTTCTGACAAAAAAACTACACCGAAATGCAAGGGTGCGGTAGAAGCAGCGACTGTGTGAAGCAGGAAC